CCGTCAACCAACGTTTACTGATCACAGTTAGATGTTTATCAAATAAAACACTAATGACGCCTTGTTTGGATATTAGATGTTTCCCCATAAAAATTGGTAATCCAATGAAAGTTGAAATGAAAGCGACAAAAACAGGATCGATCATGTAAAGGGCACTTTGACAGTTGATTGGAGAAACCATCAAAACCAGGTTAAATTGAATTGTTGACACTCTGATAGAGGTAGGAGAAAAAAAGTAATTAAAACGATTATCATTTCGAAATATTAATTACATCATGATAGTGGCAGCTAATAGAAGATGAGAAAGGGAGAAATCAAAAGTGGGATCACACACAAAAAAAACAGCTATAATCAATGATTGGTGAAGATTCAACATAACGGATGATCAGTCTCTCACGCTATCAAACACTCATGGAGTAACCTGAAAATAGCATAGCTTGGTTAGTTCAGTAAGGAAATAATCATTAACTGGTAACCAAATTTAACTCACCTTTCACTCTCTCTTTATATCCTAAAAAATCTTGAATCTCTTTTGCTTTTTTTCCTATTGACATCGCCTGTTTGACTTCTTCAAGCCATTATCATTATTTGTGTGGATAATTATTCAATTACCAGCTTCAGAATCATGATTGGTTTGTTTTTCATTTTTATCAGTAATCCAACCTTTAATCGAACTCATTTGATCAGGTTACCGCTTTATGTGATCAAAACATCATGTAGCTGCCATCATCGTTTGGATGTGATATTGTCTTGACTAAACAGATGATGTTGAAAATGGCTTTGTATTAATGTCCGTTGAAACCAAAGTGTTGATGTACAATTTATAATCTAAATGAAAAGCTAGTAAATCTAATAAAAAATTTATAATAGGAAAAAGGAATGACATTAAAAAATTGGAATCAAGATGGAATCTAATTAAATGATTTTAAAAAGGATTACATTACCTTTTATACGAATGGTAGACAGTGTTTAATGTAATTGCACGACATTAACCGAAGCAAAGCCAAAAATTTGAATTAAATCATCTAATAATAAGGTAAATAAATATATGACTGGCAAGCAAGCAAGATATTTCCTTATTGTTATCTGGACATAACTTCATAATACAATCAGCCTTAAAAAAATGAAACTTACAGTTAGTGTGAGCAACCAAAATGGCTATTTCAACCTAAAATTAGTATGAATAGCCTCAATAATCAAAACAAAAAATACAATT